GACCACTGATGCGGGTGCTGGTTGCCATCATCTCCCCCATTTACTGGTCCTTGGCACACACTGGTGCAACGGCCCGGAGTGGGTTCCTGCTCACTCAGGGCACCTTCCAACACGAGTCCCAGCTGGAGTTTGTCACAGGTAAGGGACCCCAGGAGCCCTAGGCATGTTGGGGGCTGCAGAGCCTGGTCCTGCCCAGCCCAGCCTCCATGCACCATCCCTGGGGCCTCAGCCTATCCCTGGGCTGAGCTTCACAGCTGGAGCTGGAGCTGTGTTTGGGGGTGCTGTGAGCTGCTGCTCACTGCTCTATCTGGGCAGGGGAGATGCTGCGGGTCACCCACCTCGCCCGGGGTGTGGATGCCACCGGGGCTCTGCTGCTGGACAGTGTGATCAGTGGCTCCATGCCGGAGAATATCGACAAGGCTGCGGTGCTGCTGCAGGTGCCAGCACTGCCCGTCCTTCCTCTGGGGCTGTGACTCCCCGGCTGGGAGCTCAGGGGGGGCCCATGGCCTGACCCCCTCCCTGCCTCTCCCCAGGACTTCAGCGAGCGCTACGTGCAGACGGGTGCAGGGCAGCTCTCGGGGAGCTCGGTGCAGATCTTCCTGCAGGATGGGCACATCATCCGTGCTCGCTGCAATCACACCATCACCTATGACCCCACTGTGGGCCCACAGCCCCCCCGGGTGCAGCATGTCCGGGCCAGCGCTGTCAAAGCCTCCTACAACCCGACCTCGGAGGAGCTCCGCTTCCAGCTCCGTGCCTCACTTGATGCAGGTAACAAGGGGATTCCCAGTGATGGGGATGAAGACACTGGGCTCCCTCATTGGTCCTGGGTGGCTGTGAAGATGCAAAGGACATGTCCCTTATGATCTCTGTTTGATTCCTAGGGCCTGACAGAGACCAGTGCCCACCAGGATTCATCCTGGGCCCTCAGCAGCTCTACTGCATTGGTACGGACCCTTCCCAAGGGGGGCACAAGCATGGTGAGGGGTACCCCCTGCATGGTGCCACCTCCCCAATTCTGTCCCCTCTCTGCTCCCCAGATGTCGATGAATGTGCTGAGGGGTCCCATGGCTGTCGCTACAACCAGCTGTGCCAGAACACTGCGGGGACCTACCACTGCGCCTGCCCTCTCGGCCACCGCGCGCTGGGTGCTGGCTGGCCGTGCTTGGGTACGAGCTGGGGTCTCGGGGGACACTGCCTCGGGCACACAGACTGTGGGGCCACAGTTGTTCCCTTGCCCTGCTCCAGCCTCAGTTTTCCTATCTGGCTGCAGCTCTCTGGTTTTTCCCTCCATCAGATATAAACGAGTGCCTGCAATCTCCTCCGCCATGCGCCTTCGAGTGCCACAACCTGCGGGGCTCCTATGAGTGCCTTTGCCCCCCTGGCAGGACCCCGCTGCCGGGTGGCAAATGCAGCAAAGCAGGGCTGGATGGAGGGGGCAGGACAGGCAGCACCCCCCGGGACTCCCCCCTACGCTGGCTGGGGCCGAGCAGCCCACGGGGGCGATCCTTCTATACCCAGCTCGCCCTCCGCCGCGTGGCAAAGGCTGCGGGGCCGAGTGCCAAGGGTGCCCCCTGCCCCATGGGCTTCATCAAGAGGAATGGCACCTGCACTGGTGAGTGTGCGTGGGGGAAATAATCAGGAAGGTCTTTGCAGGGACTTTGAAGGCCACCTTTTGCCCAAAAGGCGGTTCCTGTGCCCATTGCTGCCCCATCTCCCATTTTGTTTCCACTGCTGTTCATGGTGTTGGGGTCTCCCTGGGTTTGGTGGTGCTGGGAAGTGGAGGTGAGAGCCAGAGCAGTGGAGGGGACTGATGCTTCCTCACTTGGCTTTACCTCTGTCACTCCGCAGACCTTGATGAGTGCCAGATGCTGACCCAGTGCCAGCATGAGTGCAGGAACAGCCTGGGCAGCTACCGCTGCATCTGCCCCCCTGGATACCGGCTGCTGCCCAACGGGAAGACCTGCCATGGTCAGTGCGGGGGTGCTGGGGGGATGGCCCTGTCCTGGCAGGATGCCTGTGTCACTCAGGGTTGTCCTGGGTCCCCAGGGTGCATTGGATATCATTCCCAAAACTCCAGTCTTTCTCCTTCCAGGGGAGGGTTGTTCCCAGGCTCACTGGGAGTTTTCTCTCGCTGCCCCAGTGTCAGAGACCCCAGGTGGGGTGGGAAGGTGTGGGAGCTGGGTTTAAATCCCCATCTCAGCCTGGGGCACACAGGCACCCCAGTACCCTCAGAGCTGTTCCCCTTCTGCCAACAGATGTGGATGAGTGTGAGGAGGGCATGATCCAGTGCGACTCGAGCCAGATGTGCTTCAACACCCGCGGAGGTGCCCAGTGTGCGGATGTGCTGTGCCCGGCTGGGTACCGGAGAGGCTCCAGCCCTGGGTGAGTCCTGCCATGGGGCTGGGGCTGCCTGTCCCCTGTCCTTTCTCATGGCATCATGGCCCCAGGTTCCCTGGCTGCTCCTGACCCCCACCCCATCCCGTGTCCCCCTGGTTCTTGTGCAGGGTGTGTGTCGGTCGCTGCACCCCAGACTGTGGCTCCACCCCCCCCGCTGCGGTACCAGCTGCTCACCCTGCCCCTGGGCATCGCTGCTGGCCGTGATGTGGTGCACCTTACCCCGGGTGCTGCTCTCCCCCACCACCCCATCTTCACGCTGCTGGAGCAGGCGCCCAACAGCCCCTTTGCCCTCCGCACCGAGCAGGGCCGCGGCATCGTCTCCACTCTGCGCCCGCTGCGGAACCCTGGCACCCACCGCCTCAAGGTGCAGGTGCTGGCCCCGGGTGGGCAACGGGCACCCAGAACCTTCCTTCTCCTCATCTCTGTCTCGCCCTACCCCTACTGACACAGCCACGGGACAGGAGGGGACGTGGGGTCATGTCTTTTCCTGTCCCTCACCACCACAGCGATGGGGGTATGTGGCTCAGGGAGAGCTGAGCTTGCACCTTTCCACTTCCCCCAGACCCCCCTTGCTGTCCCTTGCCAGTGTTTCCTTTGCCCAGGGACAGTTCCTGACTCAGCACAGCCCTGGGGGGGACAAGATGTCCCGACAGCCTCTTGCAATCAGGTTTTATTGCAACCCTGAAACTTGCACCCGTGGCCCTGGAGCAAACACAGCTCCAGACGACCTTGGCCACGATCAGCCCCCAGATAGAGGGAGGGGGATGAGCTGGGTGACAGCAGCTGATGAGGACCCTATTGGGGTGCAGGGTGTGATTCCCCCAGGCTGGGGAGGGCACAGGGCACCCTGGCATTAACCATGTATTAAGTATGAAATAGCCTTGTGTTAGTTGTTTTTTTAATCCACCTGGTTTCTATGCATACTTATTTATTTATGGTTTTGTTCCAAATAAAGGTGTTTTGTGGATAGATATCAGCTGTGGCTGAAGTGTTCAGGTGGAGGGGAGGGAGCTACCCCAGCAGCAGCCCTGCCTTCCTGGGGCTTTGGGCACCTCCCTGCGTGGCCTTGGACCGTAGAAGGGACGCTGTCTGAATGTGGTAATGCTGAAGGGTCAATGTCCAGCACCTGAAAGTCCAGTCCTGCCCCAGCCTTGGCTCCCTTGGTCAGTGAAAGCAGGATGCAGCCTTTGAGCACATGGCACAAGTGAAGGCTGTTCTAAAAAAGCCGTTTTGGCTTTTCAGCCCTGTCTGGAGGGACAGGGGGTACTGGCCCCAAGGACCTAAGCCCACAGGTCCCCAGGTTTGGGCTGTTGGGTTTGCTGATGGCCATGCACCCAGGTGAGGGTTGCTGGAGCTTGCTCTTGCTGCACCTATGCTGGGGCACTGAGATTCCCCCAAAAGGCCCTGTCCTTTAGCTTAGGGGTTTCTTGTCTCCCAAGGCCAGGTCTGCTGCTGCTCTGGGGTCCCCTGGGCATGTGTGAGGGGAAAAGGTGGCTTTGCCCCATGGAAACTCTTGTCCCATCCCCTCCTGCCCACCCACTTCTCCTGATAGAGTTTCAAATGAACTCGACCTTCCCTCGCTGTGCTGGGGAGGAAAACGGGGTGGTCACAGAACAGTTGGGGAGGGAGTTCCCCTCTGTCCCCCCTTTTTCTCACCCCTTGGTGTAGGTGGCTCTGTGGGGTCGCCTGGGGGAGGGCACCCCCTTGGTGCCCTGTGGAGGCTGAGGAGGAGGACGTAAGGAGTGTGGGGACAGGGGTGACAGCTGGACCAGGCACCATACCCATCCTGGCTTGGGTTGCGACCTGTTCCCCGTTCTGTCCCGTGTACCCCTGCGAGCAGGGCCTCCCCGGGGGACGGTGCCCACGGAGGGGACAGTCCTGCGGCGGCCCCGCCTGCCCGCGCCCGGCTATAAGGGAAGGAACGGAGGAGGAGGAGGATGCTCCAGGCGCCGGACCGGAGCGCCGAGGGCAGCCGGGGAGCGGGTGAGTGCAGGCATGGCATGGTCGGGGGGGGAGGGAAGGAGGTCCTTTGCCTTGGGGGACCGGCCCCCTGTCCCTGGCTGTCCCTTTTCCACTCACCCACGGATCTCCCCCCCCCCTAGGTGCTGGAGAAGGGTGGGGGGATCCCAGCCCTAGGAGGCTGCAGTAAAGTCCTTTCTAGCTCAGTTTTGGAAGGATGGGGGGGTTGCAAGTGAGTCCCAACTCCCCCACGGGGACCCTGGGCTTGGCCACCCCCAGGGAAGGGAGCTGGGACCTTGACTGGCACCACCCTGTGCCCTTCCCTCTCTGCTCTGGGGATGCTGGAGGCAGGATGGGACCCCCACGAAAGTAGAGTAGTGTCGCTGAGGCAAAGCCCAGCACCAGCGAATACATCCCCACAGCGAATACATCTCCCCTGGGGAGCCTGTCCCTGCTCCCTGCCCGCCCCATCCCAGCCCACAGGCAGCACTCACCAGAGCAGAGGTTGCTTTTCCAGCCCAGCTAGCAAAGACAGGGTTTTTTTTTTTCCCTGTACCAAAGTTTTAAACTTTTTATTCTCCTTCTCCCCTTTTATTTTTTTTCTTGGTTCTAAAAACAAAAGCGCAGTGTTCCTGTGGAGCAGAGCAGCCAGAGGAGCTCTGGTACAAACTCTGCCCCAACTCACACGGAAATTGCTGCAGAATAATAATCTGGGCTGAGAAAGTCCCACGATGTTCCCCTTCGCTGAGCTTTGTTTGCTCTGATTTATTACCACCTAATACCAAAACTTCGGGGCTTCCCCTTCCTGGGCAGAAGGGCTTGGCACGGGCACTGTTTCCGGAGCTGGAAACGCTGGTGGCTCTGCACCGTTGCTGGGATGCAGGATGTGTCCCCAGGGCAAGGCGCCTCTGGGTCCCTCAGGCATCGTGTGGGCAGCATGACATGTCTGAGCAGGTAAAAGTTGGAGATGTTTCCTCTTGTAGAAGGGCCACTGGTGTAGCGAGCGTGCCCAGTCTCAGAGATGTTTAGTCAGGCTGATAGTCACAACAGGGATGCTGGTGGCCGCAGCGGGATGTGTTCTGGGGGTAAAGGAGGGAATTTGCTCAGCAAGCTGCAGTGTCACGCCTGGGCTGGGCCCTTTTGGGAACTGCGACTGCCTTCCTGTAAATGCCCAAGTGAGGAAGGGAACGGCTGAGCCTCCCTGGCTGCCCGGGCAGGGGCCCAGCTCGGCACACCCACGGGATCCCAGGCTGGGAAATGCCGGTTGCACAAGCCTGGGTGCTGGGTGCTGCCGGCACTGCGGGTGCGGGCAGGCTCAGGGAGCCGAGTTGCAGTTACGGGGCTGTCAGACCCCTTTGCTCTTCAGCAAGAAGCTGGTAGCACCGGGCCAGATCCTGCACCGGGGCTGGGGCACACCCTGGTGTAACCACATCCCGCTGTGAAGGCTGCTGGGTGGGCCAGCCTGGAGGAGCTCGGCATGATGTCTTCCCTGCCCACTGGAGCGGGATTATGCTGACTGGGCAGCAGCACGTGAAAGTTGCTCAGGACGGGATTTGGCCAACTCTGCTGTCTGCCTTCCCTGGCCAAGGGTCATCTGGCGTCACCTTTTCACAGGGGCCTGGGATTTGAAGCCTGGCTTGAGGACCTGAGCCCCTTCCTGCAGTGGGATCTCCTGTCCCTTCCCCTGAGCTCTGGGCTGCCACGTCCTTCACCCTCTCCTATTGTTGGCTGAAGTTCTCCACCTCCTCTGCTGAAGGGAGAGAAGCACTGAATCCCTACGGAGTTGTTTCTCACTGGTAGGAAACACAGGGCAGTGTAATTAGGACAAATGCCCAATAAGCATTAATTAGAGTTGGGGCTGAGCTGTGGGAGATGCTGCTGAGCATCCCAGCCCTGCAGCTATCGCACACCTGGCAGTGCCGTTGGGTGCTCGGGGCCAAGCCAGCGGGTGGCTGCACCCGTCTGCTGCAGCAGCTCCTCTGTACTGGTGCCGGTACAGGGCTGCGACGTGCTGGGTCGTGCCTGAGCAAGGCATCGGGCTGTGTCTGATCCCGGCCCCCGGCACTGTGGGGTGCTTGCAGAGTGTGAGGCAGGCTGTGCCCCGGCTGTCACAGCGAGAGCTGCGTGCAGCAAAGGTAAGAGCATAGCAGCCCCGATGGCTGCCCTGACCTTCTCCTCTTCCATCACTTGGCTGCTACTGGGTGTGCTGGTTGGTACATGGGCAGGGTGCCCACCCCGGCTGGGAGCTGCAGCCTGGAAGTGGCTGTGGTGCTGTGGCTCCTTCTCCTGTCCCCAGCTCCCTTCTCCTGTCCCCAGCTCCCGTCTCCTTGCAGCCCCAGGAGGCTCTTGGTCCCACTGATCCCTCCTGAGTCCCCTTCTGCACTGCCTGCTCCTCGCCTGGCGCTCCTGGCAGAGGAGGGGGCTCAGCCAGACCCCAGCTGAGCATGGCCCAGCTCCATGTGCCCTGGTCGCATGGGAGCACCCAGCACCTGATGGCAGCAGCTCTCACTGCCCACGAACAAGAGCAGTGCCAGGAGCCTGTGATTTAATCAGAGAGCTTGTCCCGGCACCATCAGCTCCACCGCCATGTGCTCCTCTACCTACTCAAGCTGCTGCCAGCTCTGAGTGTTTACTTTGCCATGGGCTTTGCTTCTTGCCCCCTGGTTATTCATCCGCTGGATAAAGTTTGTGTTGCCTAGAATATCCCATCCCTGCTGCCCTCAGCACCCAGCTGGACCGTGACATTCCCATGGCCAGTGCTGGGGACACTGGGGAGGGTTTCATGGCTGATGGCTGCTGCGTCCCTGTGTTGAGTAAGAGCAGGCTGATGGTCAATGCAGGGGTTGGGACCACCATGAACCCTTTTCCCTTTGTTTTGCCAGTGCCATGGCTCAGCCCAAGAGCACGGTGGTCCTTGCCTACAGCGGGGGCCTTGACACCTCCTGCATTCTGGTGTGGCTGAAGGAGCAGGGCTATGATGTTGTTGCCTACCTGGTAAGACCTCATGGACCCCATCCCTGGGGGCTGGGGGCAGAAGGGGTGCTGGGCCACGGGTCTGGGGTCCTGGCATGTGTGTGGCTATGGCAGTGACCCTGCTCTCCCTGGTTAACCATCACCCAGCCCGGGTGCTGCTCTGCTGAGCTGCCAGCCCTGTGCGGCACAGCCTGTCCTGGCCAGCAAATGATTCTCTGTTAATGAGGGCAGTGCTAATGAGGGCAGAGGGGCCATCTTGGGGGCCGGGCAGCCTCCCTCCTGCCCATAATGGGTGGCCTCAAACCTGGCCAGCCTGGGCTCTGCTGTGTCTCGCATGATGCCCTATGTCAGCCTGGGCTTGCACTGGGTTTTGTGGTCTCCTTTCAAACTCAGCCTTGGGTTTTTGGTTGGTTGTTTGTTGTTTTCTTTTCCTCTTCTAGGCCAATATCGGGCAGAAGGAAGATTTTGAGGCAGCACGAAAGAAAGCGCTGGCACTGGGGGCCAAGAAGGTAACAGTGTCCCTCTGTCTCCATGCCCAGAGGCTCTGAGCTCCCCCTGCTCCCTGCTGTGGGGGTGAGCCCTGGGGTCTCACACACCCCACGGCTGGGACCACCATCGGGGTGGGGGAACGACACAGCGCTAGTGAGAGATCCCTTTTCCAGAGGTTTTGCAGCCTTTTATCATTATCTAGGAAAGGGGAGGTGGAGGGGCCCTTTGCTATGACACCCCTAAAACCCCAGAGGAGGGGGATCCCTCCATCCCCTCTCCCATCCTAGGGCTCCCTCCATCCCCCCTCCCATGCCAGGGCTCCCTCCATCCCGGCAGGTTTACATCGAGGACATCAGCAGGGAGTTCGTGGAGGAGTTCATCTGGCCAGCCGTGCAGGCCAACGCTCTCTACGAGGACCGGTACCTGCTGGGCACCGCACTGGCACGGCCCTGCATCGCCCGCAAGCTGGTGGAGATTGCCCAGAGGGAAGGAGCCCAGTTTGTTGCCCATGGGGCCACCGGCAAGGTGAGGGAGGATGGGGACACCAGAGTGGGGCTGGCGAGGAGTGCTTGTGGGGAACACAGTCAGTCCCTTGGCCAAGCCAAGGAGGGGTGCAGAGAGCATTTTGTGGGTGCTCTGCAGGGAAGTGTTTCAACACTTCCTTCTGGGATTTCTGTGCCCAGTTTCAGTTCCCTGTCCCTGCCAGTGAACACAGTGAACCCCCCACTTTTGGCAGCAGCTTTCTAAAATCTGCTCCAGACCCAAGCTGGGGCTGAGCCAGCACCGTGTTTTGGGGCACCCTGGGCAGGATGTGGCTGTCCCCATCTCTGGCAATTGGGGTTTGAACTGGATGACCTTTGAAGGTACCTTCCAACCCAGTACATTCTATGATTCTACGATCCCTGTCGCTGGCTGTCCCTATTCTTGGCTGTCCCCATCGCCACCGGTCGCAAGGAGGTCTCTTTGCCACTAGAGGCAGCCAGAGACCGTGGAAAGGATGCTCGGTGCCAGCCCCTGCCCGGAGCAGAGGAATTCTCCACGGGGAAAGTGGGACCTGCGTGATGTGACTGTGGGCCAACCCCTGGCACCTCCAGCCCCTGCTTGCACGCTGCCCAGCCCGGTGAGGGGACACCTAAAACAGGGTGACACCATCATGAGAGGTCACAAGCCTGGCTGGTCCCTCTGTGGGGTCCTTGGGTGCTCTGCATGCACCCAGGACCTGCTGGTTACCTCCTCCTCCCTGTCCACAGGGACCCAAAGCATCGATCATGCCCATCTTGGTCCAGGGGCAAAGGAGAGATGCCCACCCGGAGGGGTCTTGGTGCAAAGGACTGGGTTTGGGGGTCCCCAGCTATGGCAGAGGACTCTGCTAGCAGGGGAATGCTGGATGCAACCAAGGACTGGCACTGGGGAAATGGGGCAGAGGGGCAGCTGGGGGGGCTTCGTGGCTGAAATAACTCTTGATCCTGCTGCGATGGGTTCCCTGCACCCCTTCCCCAGCAGCCCCCTCCTGAAAGCACCCGCTCAAGGTGCCCTGGAGTAACACACCCCTGGCACAATGACATTCCCTCTGCTCCTGGGCACCCCCGTGTCCTGGTTTTTAGCTGAGACAGAGCTGGGTTTCTTTTTAGTAGCTAGGATAGGGCTGTGTTTTGGTTTCAGTATGGGATTTGTTGTGAGAAAGATGTTGATAACATACCAATGTTTTCATTTTGTCAATGGAAGTTGAAGGACTTTGTGTTTTGTTAGTCTACAAATGCAAGATCTAACAGAGTGAGGAATATTTAAATTAATAAGCTGAATTGGTGTTTGGCTCTGCTAATGGGGGCTCTGCCAAGGGGCTATTCCATCTCATGTCCCTTCATGGGCAGGATATTAACAAGGGTCTCCTCCTCTCTTGCTCTCTCTGGCTTTCGCTTGGGCTCTTGCTCTTCTGGGATTGTGGTTTCAGTTTGGGGATTGTTGCTCCTCTGGGATCACGGTTTGAAGCTGAGCTCGTCGATGAGGATGGGATTCAACCCCATGCGTGCATAGCACAATGGATTCCACCAGCACACCCCGGCACCAGACAGCCCCGCTGGCAGGGCCACCCTCGGCTGCTCCCCAAG